CACACACACACACACACACACACACACACACACACACACACACACACACAGACACACATACACACAGACACACATACACACATCTTTCTCTTCCTCTCTCTTTTCCTCCCCATTCTCTCTCTTTCTCACCACATCTCTCTTCCTCTCTTGACCTCTCTCGCTCGTTCTTTACGTTCGCACACTGATAGAAATACCGTTTCTACACTATATATCCACAACGCACACAGAAACATGCCACGCGGAACATAGGCGAACGCATGCATGTCAATGTACATGCACACGCGCACATGACACGCTTCGGCAAATATATATGTATATACATGTGGACACTCCTGGCACATATACAGGCGCACCCACGCAACAAGCACGCTGATGACACGCCTCTCTTGTACGCGCGATGATCGCGCGCGCGCGAGCAGTTGTTCGCCGTACACCCTGGTGCGCGCGTGTACCTCCGCGCGAAAATATCTTTTTCACGCATCGCACGCTTACATGCCAATATAAAATATGTATCACACTTACGTAAGTACAAATGCAATTTGTCACCGGCAGGAACGATTCGATTCTTTACTCACCAACTACGAAGACCATATTCTTTGTCCATCGCAGCAGCTCCCGTCGGATGTGTCTGCGTTCCTGTATGCAGCGGGCATAGGGGCAATCCGCCATTTTTGAAATCACATCTTAGGATGTGTGTGCGCGTGCCGGCCGGGTGCGCCTGCCTCGTGTTCCCGCGTGGATGTCCACCCCCTCCACCGCCGGCGCTCCTCCGTTCTCCTCGTCGTCGTCGCCGTTGTCGCCCTCGTCGTCGTCCTCCCGTACCTCCTCCTCTTCCTCTTTCTTGCTCACTCTTCTACCCCTTCCACCCCTATAGCTCTAGTTTCCCTTCCGTGTCTCTTTCCGATTTCCTCCTTCCACCTCTCGTTCCTCCCTCCCTGGTAAACCCCTCTCCTTCAATCCGCTCCTCTTCCGCCAATGTTCCTCTGTCTTTCAGCGCACGCCGCGTGAGCGTGAGACGTGCGTGAGGAAAGGGAAAAGAGAAGCGTGCGTATACACGTCGCCGCGCGCTAACGTGCGCGCTGCTGGGTGCAACGTCACGCGTGATGTAACGCGTCGGCAGGAGCGACCAAAGTTACCGTCGTTGTGGACCGCCGATGTGGTGGTAGCAGCGGTTGTAGTGGTAACGGCAGTAGGGGTTCTGTCGTCGTCGTCGTCGCCGTCGTTTCGTCGGCCGTGGTGCGACGCGGCGCTCCTCCACGCGCGTCGGAGGGATGGCGAGCCGACGGCGTCGATGTCGTTGGCGGTGGCGGTGGCGGCAACGGCGGCAACGGCGGCACGGTGGGGATGTAGCCGCGGAGGGATGACGACCACGCTACTCCTCCCAGGTAGCGGGACAGGGTTAGGACACAGAAACGCACAACACACGTGCACGCTTGCGCTCTGAACGCCACGAGAGTGCAGTCTGTCGCCGGCGGCGCGTCCTGACTCACCCTCTCCTTCTCTTCCTTTCTTTTTATCTCTCTATCCCACTGCCACCCTACCGCCCTCCCTCCCTCCTTCTTTCGGCCCGCTGTGTGCCCGCACCTCTCGCACGAAGGTCTTCTCCCTTTTCTTCCGCCGAATTCTCCTACGGCGATCGGATCCGTGCGTTGTACTCTTCCTCTTCTCTTACTCCAAGACGTTTGCAGATCGCCGGTTGCTATCTGAAACAGGAATAAGATCGTGCTCGATCAGAACGTCTGCAGATACTCGCGTCTTAAAGAAATGATCTCTTTTTTTCATCTCGTTCCTTCCTAAGATAATACACTCAGAAAAGGGAGTCATGTCTAATGATAGCACTTTTAGAAGATTTAAGAAATCGGACTTCTTTATGTCCTATTTAGTCGCGCATCGATACCTTCGACGTGTCTATCCTATCTACGACTACATCGCGTCGCGGCGACGAGGTCCTCCCACACCGCGATCCCGTCGCACCTGCGTGCAAAAAGCGGAGTGGGCGGCCGCCGGCCCCATCCCGAAACAGGAAGGGTACTGCTGCTGCTCGAAATGAAACATTGCCGGGAAGAAGA